GCTTTATCTTCAGTCTCACTAATTCTGACTTCCATTGTCTCAATTCTGCTCTATGACTTTCTACTGAGTTGTCTAATTCTGAAATTTTATTGTTAATCTTCTGGATTTCTGATTGCTGTCTCTCTATGTATTCTTGCAGCCTGTTAAATTTGTCATTAAGCTCTTCTCTTATCTTTTTTAATTTCTTCTATTGCATGTTCTGCATTTTGCTTAATTTCCTTCCTAATTTCTTGAAGAGTTCTGTGTATTAATCTTTTGTATTCTGCCTCCAGTAATTCCAAGAAATTTTCCTCCTCTGGAAAATTTCTAGATTCTTTATTTTGGGAGCTTACTGAAGCCATCATGTTTTGCCTCTTTATATGATTTGATATTGACTGTTGTCTCTGAGCCATCAATAAGTTATTGTATTTATTTATTTCATGTTTGCTTACTGTGTCCTAGCTTCTCGTTTTGTTTTGATATGCTGTTCGTATGAGCTAGTTTGATTATTGGCACCTCTGAAGCTCTAGTGTCCTGTCAGCAGGTGGTTAGATCTGTTACTAGGTATGTGAGCTTAGCAGACCGTCCACTCCTCCTGTATGGATTCAGCTCAGGTGCTCAGGTAGATAGCCACCAAGTGTGTGGTGTAGGCTCTCACTGACAGTCCTAGACAGGCCTGGGTGATTGGTGTAGGCACAGGCATCTGGCTGCAGCAGGGGGACACACTCTGAGCAAGGCAGGAGGCTGACAGCCACCCCCGAGTGTCCGGGAGGAAGGTGTGTCCCTGTTCCCTAGAGTGTCTAGGTGGGTGGGTTTTGCAGCCAGACTATGAGCACCTAATGCTGTTGGTTGTAAGGACTGGGGGGCACCTCTTATTCGTGGGCCACTATCACAGGTGGCTAGGTGGTGTGGGTGGAGCCACCAGTCCTCCAGCCCTTGATGTTGGTAGGTGAAGACCCTGCTTAATGGGTAGAGCAGTGTCAAATGTCAAGAACCTGCCACTTCTCAACTGAAACGGTTAAAGTTAGAGTTCCAGTGTATACTCTGTTGTACTGCAGTAATGAGGGCCTATGCTGTTGAGATGGGCCCACACAAGTCTATGCAGGGGGAAAGGCACTCAAAGTCTGTGGATCCCTTATGCCTGTGCCTAGGCAAAGGAGCTCTGCCTACCCTGGGTTCCTGGCTTAGGGGAGCCAGCAGTTTATTTTTTCCCATTTGTTGATTTGTTCACTCTCCAAGGCAAGGAGAATGGCTCCGGGCATGTGATGGATCCTACTTCCAGCCCAGAGGACTCAGCAATTGCTGAAGCCAGTCTGGAACCCAATGCAGAGCAGGGAGCGGGGAGGTAAATGGGAGAGAGATTTTTCCCTAAGGGGGGCGTTTTTGATCTGTGCAGTAAGCCGTAGGCAAGTACTTATCTTTCTCACTGGTTCTGGGTGGCTGAGTAGACTGCCTGGCTCTGGGTCTCTCCTGCTGTGGAAAACGCGCCTCCTGAGCACAGCCGCTTGCCTGCCTCACTGCTCACCCACGAGCTGCTCAGGCCTGAGGTGTCAGGCTCTCACCAGGTCAAATCTGGCAACTCCTCGCTGCTTCCTAACCGTCTCTCCCTCCCCCTGACACTCAGTCCAGTTTCTCAACTCTGCCTTTGATGTTCAGGGCTCCAGGTTGCCATATATAATCAAATCACTTGTTTTTTCGGGTCTTTGTTGTAAGAGGGTTCACTGGAAGGGTCTGACTACTCTGCCATCTTGGCCTCGGCTCCCAGAATTTTCTCTTTTTGACCTGAATATTAAAACTCATTTTCAGAAATGATGCAGACATCCTCATATGTTTTGTATTTTTAAAATCATTTAATTGTTTTTTCTTGGCATAGGAAGGGAGACTGTGGATAAGTTTGGACATCAGTGTTCATATGGCCATCTTTCCTAGAAGATACTTTCTTTGTTTTGACTGTGAATGGAAAGAGTGGCAGGGAATGTGCCAATATTTTTAAAACTGTTTACTTTGACATAATTTCAGAATCATAGTTGTCATTTCAGACTTAAAATTCTTCCATCTTCTTTATGTTCATGCTTATGACATTTTTAATGCATACAGCCCAGTTATTTTATTGAATGTTGTAAAAATGGTGTGGAGCGGCATCTGACCTCCTCTAACTTCATGAGAGGGAAGGAGAATCAAGAGCAGCAGCCCAAGGCTGATTGCTATGAAGCAGAGATCAGACATGCCTTTTCTCTCCACCATCCTTACCAATTCTGACACCAACTCTCCCTCCCACGGCACTCTCTGCTTCTCTGCTGGGTTTGATAATTCATGAAATGGCCACATGGAACTCACAAACAATACTCATGATTATGGGTTATTAGGGAAGTAACAGGTTGCAATTCAGGTTCAGGAACACTCAGGTTGCAGTTCTTCCATCAGGACAGCTTCTTTCCAGTTGTATTGCAGGCACATCTCTCTCTGGTCCTTTGACCCCTGCCCTGCTCAGACAAGTGTTACAAAGCTCTCTTAGCTCTGCCAGTAAGTGCCCTGAGGGCACCCCCCTCGGCCAGTAAGCCTCGGCCCGAAGACGCTCCGCTCTAGCTCTTTGGGTCATCAAATCTAGCTACACCAAGTGCCCAGAGGCACCATACTCTGCCAGCAAGCCTCTTGCCCAAAGGCAGTCAGCTTTCTTGCTCTGTAGGACAGGAAGCCCACCAAGCCGTCTCTTGCTGGTCTCTCCTACCACCATTTCTGTTCCACTGCTTCTCACCATCTTCAGTGTTACAACTCTACAACTGTCTCTTTCTCAGTCTGCTGGTTCCAGGAGCTTCTCAGTGCAGGGATCCTGGGTCTAAAGGATGCACTGCGCTCTTGGTCCTTCTTCCTTGGTAGTGGTGAGATCCTCTCTGTGCTCTAGACTTGGCTGTCTTTTAAGCCTGCAGAATAGCAAAGCTGACCAATCCCCTCGTTAGGGTTCCATATACCCTATTAGCATGGTCTCACCCAGTCATTTGGTAGGAGTTACAAGACCATGGTGAGAAAAGCCACACAAAAGTGATCCATCTTACCTCAAGTGTTCCTCATTTTGGGTTCTTCTGATGTTACCTCATAATTATATTCTGGTTATACAATTTTGGCAGGAATATCACAGAAGAGATGTTAAGTTCTTCTCTGTTCATTGTATCAGGAGGCACATGATATTGACTGACTTTTATTATTTGATTAAGATAGAATCAAATAATGTAAAGGTACTATTTTTTAATTTGTAATTAATAAGTATGTTGTGGGGAAACATATTAACACTTCATAATTACCCATAATCCCTATCAAACTTCCAACCTCTTGTGTTGGCAACTGCTGATGATTTTTGTCTGAATCAGTTATTACTGATGGTTGCTAAATGATGACTTTCTATTTCCATCACTCTTTGCTTATTTATTAGCTTGCATTTTACTGTAAGGAAGATATTTTCCCTTTGCTTATTTATATCACCATGAATTCATGGATTCTTATTCTATGGATTCTCATCTGTTACTATTATTATTATTATTTATTTTGATGCTGTAATTGTTTCATATTTGGCTGATGGGAGCCCGTTCAATCTGACTGTGTCCAGTATCACCTTTCTATTTTTACTTTTAGATACATATCTTTCTTATTGCAGTAATACATTTTGATAGACAATTTGCAAAACTAATTTAAAAGGCAGAGAGAAGGATATAAAAATATATATAATCCTGTCATCTTCTACAGATTTATGTATTTACTTTCAGCCTTTTATTTCATTAAACTTTTTAATGTAGTAAAGAGCTTTACATCTTAGTTTTGTTTTTTGGGTTTTTTTAATCTATCATTGAATTACGTTTTCCTGCACTTTAAGAATTCTTTAGAAACAGTGTATCTCAAACTGTGTGTGGCCACATGTGACCCAGATATGCCAATACTGTCTTGAGGCCCACCTGCTACCTCTGCTTTTGGATAGCATAGCCCTTCCCCTTCTGAAAGAACACTCTAGTTTGCTATCTCTTCCCATTTTCCACACCCAGATTTTTATTTTCCCTTCTCTTCTTTTTCAGCGCGCTTCTTGCCCATTCTCTTGCAGAACATTTCAGGACCCAACAAAGGAATGGAGTGGTGGGAGCACAGAGAGAAGAGTGGCTCAGATATGAGGTAGAGCACCATCCTCTTGCTGGGGATAGAGCAGTGGGGGCAGATAAACAATGAATAAATGAAAAACTAATAGATAATAATGTCAGGTGGTGAGAAATGCTATGAAGAAAAAGAAAAATAGGTAGGATGGAAAGAGTGGTGAGTAGGTAGCTGCTATGTTAGATAAGTGGACAAGGAAGGCATTTCTGATGAGACAGTACTTGAGCAGAGACCTCAATATTTTCTAGATGAGAAACTGAAGCTCAGAGAGGTAAAACACCTTCCCCAAGGTTACAAAGGCAACTCAAGATTAACCTAGTTCCTCTGATTCAAAAGCCCACTCTAAGTAGTACCTCCCTCTCTGGGGAGTATACCTCATGTTCTCCGTAAGTGAAATTGCTAACTTATGTTAACAGGCTTTGTCTATCTCTACCCCATCCCTTGTATCAAAGCATTTCTAAAAAGCAAAACTTGCAAGAAATTTTTCCGTGTTTGAATTTCAGTGGTGGTAGGGACAGAAATGAAAGGTTTGCTTTAAGAAGGTGTTGGGGATTGTTTTGGAACTCAGTCATTCCTTAGCTCTAACATCTAAAAGTTACAGTTTTTCATGTCCCTAAGGTCTATTGAGAAAGGCGACCTCTCCATTGAACAAACTGGAGCTTCTCAAGATAGTCCGCCTGGGATGAATACAGAGTCCGAATCTTCAAAATCCTCACTGGCAAAATTCTCACTTGCTGAGACACATCCTTCTAAGAGTGCCTCAGAAACCCAAACTTGGGAATTGAAGGATCCAGAGATCTGGTCTGCAACATCTTTGGTTTCGGAGGACAAGGATTTAAAGGCCCAGGCCTGGAAGATCCAGGCTTGGGAGCCTCAGTCCAGGGGCAGCCAACCCAAGCAAACCTCTCTGTTTGGGATGGAGGGTATATCAACCCCGAAACACAGTACCTTAGCTCTGAAAGTGCAGGTGACAAAGAAGAAACAGAATGAGAACCTTACCCGTCCACTCTGGTCCAACAAGGTTGAGTACATCCTGATTCAGGTGGCCTGCTCCATGAGGCTAAGCACCCTCTGGAGCTTCCCCCACCTGTGGCTTCTCAATGGAGGTATTAATGCCTGGGGCCAGGACTTATGGGTACATGAGGAGATAGTAGGCTAGAGGTCTGTCCAGGCTTCAAACTCATAAGACCTCTGAGACATGCCAAGGCTAGAGACTTGGTACTCTGAGCAGGGCAGGAGCCAGGTGCCTTAACACCTAGGATCATGAGAGGGTGGAGATGCAGGGTATTTTAACACTTAGATTCGTGAGGTGGTGGGGCTGGAGGCCTGGGTTAGGGGTGGGAGGTGGAAACTAGGTATCTGTGTCTTCCAGAAAGTGGAGGTCGGGGTACTGGACACCTGGGACTGTGAGGGATGTTTGGACATCAGTTAAGCACTGGTGCCTGTGGCCTTGGGGAGGCCATTGGTGAGAAACATGTTTTCCTGGACCCCCGAGAAGTCCAGGCTCTGAAAGGCTAGATGGTTCTCAGAGCGCCTCCCTAAATCCCCTGCACAGGCATTTTTCTCATCATCTACATCCTCATGCTGCTCTTGATTGGCGTTCCTCTCCTCTTCATGGAGATGGCATCTGGTCAGAGGCTGCATCAGAGCAGCCTTGGCGTATGGAAGCTCACCAGCCCCTGGATGACTGGTTTGGGTTATACTAGCTTCATGGTAAGGAGCTCTGAGCCACCCAGGCCTACCCTTTACAGCTAACCTCATCCCAACCCTTCTCCTGGAATAGGTCTTATGACTTCTCTTCCATGAGTCAAGTCCTTTAGTTCCCCCATCCTCTGTCAAATACCCTCCTTTTTCCTGTCCCCACTATTCCTCTCCAGCTGCCTTCTCCCTGGCCTTCAGGTGTGCTTCATCGAGGGCTTGCTCCTCAATGTGATCAATTGCTGGAGCATCTTCTATTTGAGCCAGTCCTTCCAGTTTCCTCTTCCATGGGATAAATGTCCCTTAGTGAAGAACGCCAGTGAATTTGGTGAGGAGGAAGAGAAAGAGGAGGAGAAGGGGGAAACAGAGGTGGAAGGGAATTGGAAGGAGGAGAAGGGATAAGGAAGAGGGAAATAGTGAAAGGAAAATGAAATGGGAGGTGGAACGAGGAGAGAGGAGATAGTAGAAGGAATAAAGAAGAGGGGAAGGGTCACCTTGTCTAGCAGGTGTGTCCAAAGCCAGGTCCCTCTAGATGCTGAGTGTGCACGGACGACACCCTCCATGTACTTCTGGTACCGGCAGACATTGAAGGCTTCAGATACGATTGAGGATTATGGGCCAGTAATCCCCAGTATAAGCTTGTCCTCCTTTCTGACCTGGTGTCTTACGGGTGTTATCATGATCAATGGGCTCAAGTCCATTGGGAAGGTGAGCCACCACTTTTAAACTCCTTGACATTCTCAGATACTTTGTCCATCACCTGACTCTGTTACTTGTTGATCTCCTAATTTCTTACTCCTTCTAGCCTTTTACTCCCACTAGCCCCTGACCCCTGCTAAAAGCTGTCTTTTAACTTCTATTTTTACTCAAAACTTTTTATTACTGATGACTGTTGACCCCTACTGGTATATGGTAACTGATATGTTCCACTCTCAATTCAGGCAGTGTATGTCTTCATACTGCTTCCTTGTTTCATCTCCTTGTGTTTCCTCATCCGATGTTTACTGCTGGAAGGTACATCATTTGGCCTTCAACATTTGTTTGTTTCCAAGGTGAGTAATATCTTCCCACTCTTCCATCAGCCCTTGGAGGACACCATAGCTGCCTGTTCTTAGGGCCTCCTTCCCCATTATCTCCCTGTGCCCCCCACCATATCTGTTATGATTTTCCTCTCTGTCATTTATATCCTCCCTAAACTTGTCTTCTCCCTTTTAGATATCGAATGTGTTCTCCGTGAAGATTTGGAACCTAGCAGGAAACCAAGTTTTGTCTGCCCTGGGCCTAGGCTTTGGCATCATTGCCGCCTTCTCATCATATATTTCCCCGTCCAACAACTGTCTCATTGATGCCTTTGTCGTGGCTCTGGTCAACCTGGGCACCTCACTGCTTTTCACACCTATCATCACCTCTGTCTTGGGCTTCTGGGCCACAGTCACCACAAGTCGCTGCAGTGAGAAGTAAGTCCAGCCCCTTAATTGAGGATTCTTACCTCAGGCAACTATAAAACCCAGACACCCAGACCTTTAAAATTCTGTAAAGACCCACATTCACACATCTCAGCTCAGGTGCAGTTGCAAGCCTCTATACCTGCTATAGCTAAATATGGGAACCATTGGATCCCATCATATATTATCCTTCTCAGAGCCCTCCCCTAACCCTAGAAATTTTCATACTCAGGCATTGCTAAGAATCCACTTCAGAAAATCACCACAGAGATATGCCACAGATGGAAAATATTCAAGATTACCTTAGTCCTAGATAGACAATAAATTTGTATCTAAGACCACACCCATATGGCGAACCTTCCAAGGCCCTCCACTACCTTAATGCCCCATTCTTAACTATTGACTCCTAAATTTAGATGTTTCTGTTAATCTAGCATACTTAAACCCCAATAGGTCCTCAGTAGTAGAACCTTTATCATATGCACATCCCTAATTAGTATTATTTAAACATTAATTTCAAAAGCGTTCATCACACATTTAGAAAATACACTTTATATAATCACAGAGACTTGGAAAGATGAATCAGACCTCAGTCCTTGCCTTCATTGAATTTTCAGCTTTAAAAGGGAAGAGAGGAGAGGGATTAGACACTAAATAAGATAGTCATAAACTTTTGATAACTGTAGCAAGAGTGATGTGGTAGGACAGAGGACAGAGGACAGAGTCATTAATTCTGATTGGGCAAGTTAGAAAAGGCTCCCAGAGAAGGCAAACCTAAGCTGAATTTGTTCCTAGTAATGCTAATCCCCACCATAACCACCACCTTCTTCTAGAAGAAGCCTCGATTTATACATGTCTTCTGGTGCACATGGGCCAAAATTTTCTCTAGGGTATATACTCAGAAATGGAATTTCTGGGTAGACTATCTACCCTTCAATTGAATCTTCAATTTTACAATATAACGTCTGGTTTTCAAAGTGGTTTAGTAAATTACCCTCTAACTAGTAATATGTGAGAATTCCATTTATTCCACTTTCTGAGCAACACTTGATATGGTCATATTTTTTAGTTTTTGCCAATCTGGTGGTAATTGTATTTTTTGGGGTGTGTGTGTGTGTGTTTAAACATTACATACATACAGAAAAAGGCATTAAATGTGCAGTGTTAAATAGATAACTCTGAGTAAAAGAGTCAGCACAAAGTTGGACCTATGAGCAGAGGTCAAATATATCCCAGCTTCCCAACTTCTCCATTATTTCTGACACCAGCCATTCCCCCTGCCCCCACCATGGTACTGTCTTTCTCTACCGAGTTTTATAATTTGTGGTGAGTTACTTTTGAAAAATCAGCCATTGAAAACCCTATGGAGCACAGTTCTACTCTGACACATATGGGGTTGCCATGAGTTGGAGTCAACTTGATGGCAACTAGTTTTGATTTTATAGTTTACTATGTCCATTTACATAGTTTAATTTGTTCATTTGTATATAAATTCGCTTTGTATTCTTTTGTGTTTTATTTCTTTCATTCAGCGTATGTTTACAAGATTCATCCACATTATTGTGTGTCGCTTTAGTTTGTGCTTTTTTAATGTTACTTAACATTCCAGTATATGGATAGACCACAGTTGATTTATCCATTAGTTATTGATGAACATATGGAGTCTTTCCAGTTTTTGGCTAGTATAAGCAATACTGTTCTAAACATTTTTCTACATGTTCCTGATGAGGAACTTCTCATCTGTTCACTCTTGTCCAAGAAGGTTGAGTACATCCTGGCCCAGGTAGGCTACTCTGTGAGGCCAGTCAACCTCTGGTGCTTTCCCAATCTGTTGCTCACAACATATGTGCACAATTTTCTAGGGTACACACCTATGATTGGCTTGTTGTGCTGTAGTTTTCTACCACTGTGTGACAAATCACTCCAAAAGTAAGAGGATTAAGACAACAATGATTTTAAGTGGGGTGGCTGGAAAGTTCTTCTGCTGGCCTTTCTTGGGTTCACTCACATGGCTGTCTTTATCTGGTGCAGTGACTGCAGGCTGGGCTCAGTGGGACTGCACTGCTGTGCTTTCTGTGGTGTTGGCTGAGCTCACTCTTGCACTCGCAGTCAGTTGGCAGGTGGGCAAGGGCTGTTCTCCAGGATCCATGCCATGGGGCCAGCTTGGGCCACCTCACATGGAAGCTCACAGAGCATGAAGGTGAAATTTACAAAGTGCCTTGAAGCCTAAGAGTGGGAACGGTTGTCACTGTTGATACATTTCTTTGGTCACAAAGCCTACCCTAGATTCAAACTAGAACCAAACCAAACTTGTTGCCATCAAATCGATTCTGACTCATAGTGACCCCACGTGGTTTTTTTTTTTTTTTTTTGCTGTAATCTTTACGAAAGCAGTTCACGAGTCGTTTCTTCCGTGGAGCTGTTGGTGGTTTTCAACAACCAAACTTTAGTTTAGTAGATAAGAGCAAATTGTTTGCACCACTAGGGACCTCCCCAGATTCAAGGGGCAGGAAAATAGACTACTTTTCATCTGGAGAAGCTGCAAAACACTGTGGCCATGTTTTTTCAGTCTACTACACATATCTTCAAATTTCCTAGATAATGCCAGAGTTCTTTCCTCAGTATTTGTACCACTTTATAATGTACGTATGTATGAAATGTATGTATGAAAGTTTCCATTGCCCTACTTCTTGCAAACACTTGGATTGTCAGATTTTTAGTTTTACCAGTTTGGTGGGGGTGTAATAGTATCTCATTATGGTTTTAATTGGTATGTCTCTGGTTTTTAATAAGGTTAGGTACGTTTTTATATATTTATTGGCCATTGAGTTTCCTCTTTAGTGAAATGTGTGGTCAAATTTTTCACCCATTTTTCTATTAGACTGTCTTTTTCTTTGGAGTTCTTTATATGTTCTGTATACTAGTCATTTGCCAGTCACGTATGTTAAAATCTCTTTCTCTCACTTTGTGGAGTGCCTTTTCAATCTCTTAACATGGTATTCTTTTGGGCAACTTTTTGTTTTGAAGATTTCAAATGCATAGAAAAGTTGAAAGAATTTTATCAGGAACTCCTGTATTCACAAATTCACAGAGTCACAAATCATTTATATTGTGTCCCATTTGCACTGTCACTTGCTCTCTCTGTTTACGTGTTTACAACTTCTTTTCAGAGCCATATAAGAATAATCTGTAGACATCTTGCCACTTTACCTGTAAATACTCCAGCATGTATTTCCGAAGGACAAGATCATTCTCCAGTATAACCGTAGAACAATTATAAAAATCAGTACATTTAACATTGATTTAATATCTAATTCATAGTTCATATTCAAATTTTATGAGTTGTCCCAGTACTACCCTTTATAGCTATTTTTTCCCAGTCCAAGATCCTATTCAGAATCACACATCAATTTTGTTTTGTCTCTTTAGTCTCCTTTAATCTGGAACTCATTCTTTCTGTCTTTCATGACCATGAAATTTTTGAAGCGTGAGGCCAGTTGTTTTGTAGAATGTCTCTCAGTTTGGGTTTGTCTGATGTTTACTCATGATTAGATTCAGGTGGTGCATTTTTGTCAGGGGTACCACAGAAATGATGGTATGTCCTTACAGTGTGATATATCAGGAGACACATGATCTCAATTTGTTCTATTACTGTGATGGTAACTTTAACCCCTCTGTTAAGGTTTTACTTGTAAGATTTCTCCATTGTCAAGTTAATTTTTTCCTTCTCTGGTAAATAAGTAAATTGTGGGGAGATATTATATTTTCAGACTATGTAAATGCCCTGTTCCTTATCAGAATTTCACCCAATGGTTTTAGCATCCATTGAGGAGTCTTACCTGAATCAGTTATTATTCTGATGTTGCAATAGGATGTTATTTTAACTCCATAATTTCTTATATATTTATTATTTGGCATTCTTTTGTATAGGTTCATAGATTCTTATTTTATTCAATGGGTTATAATCTGTTATTATTACTTATTTTGATGCTCAGATTTTTCCAGATTTGACCAATGGCAGCCCCTTTAAACTTGCTTTTGTGTCCTTTTCATATGCCCTCATCATTCTCTGGGCACTTTCTCACTTTTTTGACATAAGATATTTCAAGCACACCTTGCACTTCCCCTGTCACAGTCCTAGAATTAAACACTTCTCCAAGGAGTCCTGGTTTCTTTTAGTATTTAGAAACCAAAATCTGAGCACCAGGTGTGCTCATTGCTACTGGAGTATCATTGCGTCTAGGGTTTCTGAACAGACAGAGCTAGGGATTTGTGTGTGTTGGGGGAATGGATCTATCTGTCTCTCCATCCATCCATCCATCCAGCCAGCCATCCATCCAGCCAGCCAGCCAGCCAGCTAGCCAGCCATCAGTCATCTAAAACTGAGAGTTCATACTGATATTTCAAATTGCAGTCAAGCACCACAAGGTTCATTCTAGTCTTCTCTCTTTTTGTCTTTGTAACTCCTTTCTCCAATGATGAAAAACCTGATTCCCATTATCGTCAATATATTTACCCATTTTCTCAATCTCAGTACTAGAATACTCAGAAAATACCTTCAGAATTGGTAATCCATAACACTGCAAAAAGAAAGAAAAAAAGTTCAATATATGACAATTTTTTGTTTTTATCCTGAGTTTTACAGTCAGAATGCTGTGTTAAAAAATTACTTGGATTTGTTCTTTTTTCCAATTCATTGTGGTTATGTTATTCATTTGAAATAGAATCAGGTTAATTTGTTTCTGTTTGACATTTTAGGGTTCTCAACCCAGTGTGATTTTATTTAATTTGATTTTTTTTGAGTTTGTAAAACATTCACATGGTTTCAAAACATAAAGTATGCAAAAAGATACTCAGAGAAATATCACTTCTTGTACCATCACTTCAACCCAATTCCCACCCACTCCCTGTAACAAATCTCATTATTTTTGTTGTTGTTTGTCCTTCCTCTGTTTGCAAAAATCAGCAGAAAGATGTTTATTTACCCTTCTTTCTGACACATAAAGTAGCAT